AGGGATGGTGTGTCATAGCTTTGCAAAGAATTCATCTTCTTGGATCAGATCTCTGTACATTGACATACCACTTTTTGCCTGTGTCTTAGAAAGAGTCATGAGTTTTATTTTGTATTTAAGGAATCTGAGATCAAGAGAAGCCTTTCTTTTAACATAGCCTACCTAGAATATCCTTGATAATGTTGAAAACCTGATAAACACTAATTTTTTTTATTTTTTGGTCGGTCGTGGGGCTTGAATTCTGGGTCTGGGCATTGTCCCTCAGCTCTTCAGCTCAAGGCGAGCACTACCACTTGAGCCACAGTGCCACTTCGGGCTTTTTCTGCTTATGTGGTGCTGAGGAATCGAACCCAGGGCCTCATGCATGCAAGGCAGGCACTCTACCACTGAGCCACCTTCCCAGCCCATGAAAAACACTAATCTTAACAAAAGTGTCACAGGATGAAATTTTTGGGGGAGGGAGGGTCCGGTCGTGGGGCCTGAACTCTGGGCCTGGACGCTGTCCCTCAGCTCTTCAGCTCAAGGCTAGCGCTCTACCACTTGAGCCACAACGACACTTCCGGCTTTTTTCTTTTTGCTTATGTGGTGCTGAGGAATCAAACCCAGGGCCTCATGCATGCAAGGCAAGCACTCTACCACTGAGCCACCTTCCCAGCCCACAGGATGAAATTTTTAAGCAAAGATCTCTTCTGTTTTGTTTCATTTTATCCCCTGTGCATAGATGTTGTCCAGGACATAGATGCTGGGGAAGTACTTACTAAGTGAATTCCCTTGCTCAGTCATCTTTTGCCTATTCTCTATTCCTAGACCTGAAAGCTCACAACTTACTCTGTTGTGTTTTAAAGCAGTTTAGAAGAGTAAAGCTAACAATAAAAACATTTCATCCATCACATCCATTTCTTAACTAATCCTTATTTTGAAATGCAAACCAGCAGTAATGATATTGGCACTTTTACAGAATCTATCACAGATGATGCACAAAACAAACACTGTACTAAATGATTGGTACCTGATAGCTGAATGTAGGCATAGAGGTGGGGGACAGCGTGAAGTGTCATTAATTATATAAGACTTGAATGACTCATTTTCTTGAAGTTCTTGTTCAGCAAAAAATTTGAGGTTTCTTGTCTATTTTTATTTTTCTTATAAAATGTGTTGCAGACTCCAGAACAATGTCAGCACAACCGAAGGTCCTGGGCAATTTTTCACTTAGCAAAATTCTTTCTGGTGTTATGATGTGTGTTTTCTGTCAGCTAGAATTTACAGGAATAGTGAACCACAAGGCTTTCCTGGGGAGGAGATCCCACATGCTGCCTCTCCGCTTTCTCCTATTTCTTTTGGCGGCAATAACATTTTCTGATACTTTACAACTACGTTTTGAGTTCAGTGCTTAACGAAACATGTGTGCTTTGATTTTGCTTGAACCAAGAAAAAAAGTTATAATAACGAAAAATACCTAGCCCTCCACTACTTTGCCTTACTCTCCTTTCTGATGTTATCATCAACTTCTAATATGAAAAGCAAACTACAGCAAGAGTCAGGAAACTAAAGCTGTTGCTCCAGGCTCTCCTCAGCCCTATTTATCGCTGATGAGCAAACAACAGTTTTTACAGTTTTAAAAGGTTGGATAAATGTGAAAATAGTGTTATCTAACTTGAAAGTTATATGAAGCTCAAATTTCTTTGTGTATAAAAGTTTGGGGAGACTGACCACACTCATGTTTATATTTTTATTGACTGACTTTTCACACTGCAGCAGTGGGCTAGAATGTTGCAGAAGAGATCAGGTGGCCTGCAAAGCCTAAATAAAGTGTTCCTTCTGCGACTTTCTACACAAAAGTTGGCTGATACTGACTGTTGAGTAATTCCACTTTGATCTGTCTGTTTATTATTCTTCCTCATGGGAGCTCGTTTGAAGAAAGGATTTTACTGCCTTAAAAAACAAGTGTTTTAAAAAGTAAGCTTTTCAAAAGGTCAGTCCAGACAAATGAACTAGTATTTTTGTTCTTTTGCCAGGGAGACATGTTGCAACCCGCTCCTTAATCCAATCCGCTGCCACCGGGAGCAACACAATAATGGGGACTGGGCCGTTAAACTGAGCTTCAGGGGACAGGGGCCTGTAGGCTTTGGTCAGCAACAGATCCCAAGGTTCCATTAACCACGGTTTTTATTGGTCTCCTGCAAGGAAGTAAGGTGTAAACTTTAACATGTGACAATCTCTTGTATACCAGGGGTAGGTGATCTTCATATTCAAGGAAGGAGGGCAAACTGTAAACATTACAATTTGCATAAACCTAAGTCTACCCCCAGGCTTCCACACAGTTTAGGGTACAATCTTAGTTCCCATTAAGCCAGGACTGATAGACCTCTTTAGGAAAACTCAGCGTTTGGAGAGTGTATTGGGAGAAGGCATTCCAAACTCCCAATCCTTTTGGGGTCTTACAGTTTGGATTTTGGGGCTCTCACAGAGATAGAGCAGGGTGAGGTTCACAGTTCAACCCGAAAGTACAGGCAGAGTAATTCAAGGCACTATTTGAACATACATTATAGGTGACTGTGGTATGGACATGTAATCCCAGCACAAGGATGCTGAAGCGGTAGGATCCGGAGTTTGAGGCCAGTCTAGGGTAGATAGTGATACCTTGTCTCCATCCTTGCCTTAAATTTTTGTTTTTAAATCTGACTGAAGGTAAGCAGTACATTCATACTTTTTAATTTTTTTCCTTTAAAGAGAATTTAATAGGAAGGTATTTGCCTTGTATTCCTGTGCTTACAAATTCATGCCAAGCACTCTAGCATAGTCCTACCCTTCCTAACTCAAGGTTGGATTTTCTAAATACCTAGGTCAAGTTTTGGTACCTCCCCACATTTCCCACAGCATCCAGAATAGTCCTAAAGTTATTAATTTGCTTGGCTAAGGTTCTGTTTTTCTCACTAGACAAATGGAGGACTGTTCCTTATGTTTAGTTTATTGTACTATTTCACAGTGCTGACTTTAGTTAGAGTCACTCTTATCTCCCAACCTGGGTGAGTCTGTGTTCTCATCTGTGAAATGAGAATAGCAGTAACAATAGTAATGTTAAGAACACCCTTTGAGTTCGTTGTGAACCTTCATTGAGATGATGCAAGTTAGATACTTTACATTTTTCCACAAAATACTTTGTATAAAGTTGTCAGTATCAAAATACAGTCACTTTTGTCAACCACTAACAAAATAGAGCCTGAAAGACCATGAAGGAGGCTGCTCACTCCTGTATGCCAGTAACAAGGACTGCTGAAAGATTTTCTCATACCAGCCTTCCCACTTTTATTAAGACTCTGCTAGCAATAGCCAGTACCATCAATGAACAAAGTTTACCTCCTGCAGTCAGCCTCTATGATCATTATTAGATTTTGTTTTAAAATCGTACATAAACTTTTCCTTTTTGTCCTTAAAATATATTCCCCTGCCCTGGACCTCTGGGGGTACACCTGGTCCACTGTGACATGTGAACATCCAGACTGCAATCCTTTACTATTCCTGAATGAACTCTACAGAATTTTGGACAATTTCTTTGCTGTGAGACTTAGGTTGACAGCTCTGTGTTGCTGGTTTTGTTGTTTTATCTAAAATACCTACCCTACAGCCTAAAGAGTGAGAGTTGTTTGTTTGTTTTTTGCAGGGGGCGGGAAGGGGAGTATTGTGGGGCTTGAACTCTGGGCCTACGGGAAGGGGAGTATTGTGGGGCTTGAACTCTGGGCCTACACGCGGTCCCTAAGCTCTTCAGCTCAAGGCAAATGCTCTACCACTTGACCACAGCACCACTTCCTGTTTTCTGGTGGTTAATTGGAGATCAGTCTCACTGAAGTTCCTACCTGGGCTGGCTTTGAACCATGATCCTCAGATCTCAGCCTCCTGAGTAGCTAGGATTACAGGCATGAGCCACCAGCACTTGGCTCAGAGGTGTTTTTTTGTTTTGTTTTGTTTTTTTAATGGAGTCAGTGCTACCAAATTTATACTTTACAAAACGTTGAATGTAAAAATTAATTCTTGCTATTCATCCAATATGAGTTTCCCAATAGATTTTCATATAGCACTAATACTATGTTTCTGTATGATTGGATTGGGTGATTTTTTTTTCTCCCCTGTTCTCAAACCTGAGCTCTTTCCACATAGCTTATAAGAAGTTGCAGGTAAAATTCAGTACTTACTATATTCAGGGACTTGACGTTACTTTATTTCTTAAAAGAATCCTATGAGCTAAATGTTACTATTGTCTCTATTTTCAGAGGAGGTAGCTAAAGCACAGAGTGATTGTAACTGACCATAGGCCACTTAGCTAATAAAAGCAGAGTTGGAATTTGAACCTCTACTTTGCATCTGTAGTGTGGTTTCCAGTGAGGGAGGGAGGGAGGGAGGGAGGGTGTGTGGTGTGTGTGGTGTGTGTGTGTGTGTGTGTGTGGTGTGTGTGTGTGTGTGTGTGTGTGCATACTCAGCTCAAAGTTCATGTTGTTAACCAATGTATTCTAATGCTTTTATTAGCCATATGTTCCCTTACTTGCCATGTTTTTGTATGTAAAGTACTAATGAATGTATGATATAATAAAAATACAATGTAATACAATTATTGCTTCATTTTTCTTGGGCTTCAAGTTCTAACTTTTTTCATTGTAAGTCCTCTTAGGTGGTATCTATAGCCAGCATTGACTGTTTTGAAGCTGTCTACTTGAATACTACAAAACTTTGAGCAAAGAAATAACTTAAATCTATTTATAGTCCTAAACTAATTTTGCTCACTAGTACTCACTCAAAAATTATGTGATTTCTTTAATTTAGAGTTTTTCCTTTTGGGGGTTCCTCTTTTAATGTTGATTTTTTGGCATAAAATGGCATCTTTTTGTAACAGATCATTCAGTTGACAAAGAAGAAACTAAAGAATTTGGACCTGTTAGTCATGACTATGAGGTAGGGTAATGAATTTGGCCTCTAAAACTTTTTGCTTCATTTTATATCTTTTTCAGAACTCTCCACTTTACCAGTATTTACAGGATTTAGGACACACAGATTTTGAAATATGTTCTTCTTTGTCACCGAAACCAGAAAAATGTACAACAGAAGGACAACAAAAGCCTCCTACGGAAGTCCCACCAAAAGTAAGAAAGCATGTGTGTGTCCAAAGCTTCATCTTTTGTTCTTTACCTCACCATTTAAACTTTTACCTCTCCCCTGTGGAAAACAAGACCCTAAACAAAAACAGTCTCTAATATTTCCAAATCAGCACTAATAAGACTGTCTTATTTGTTATCAGTAATACAAAACTATTTAGATAAACATCAGTGTTTACTGCTGGTCTATAGTTTTTTTGTGGATAACATATAAAGTGAGGAAATGAACTGTGGTTGGGGACTAAAATACGTTACTTCTTTTTTTTTGGTCTGGTCGTGGGGTCTGAACTCTGGGGCCTGGGCGCTGTCCCTCAGCTCTTCAGCTCAAGGCTAGTGCTCTACCACTTGAGCCACAGAGCCACTTCCGGATTTTTCTTTTTGGCTTATGTGGTGCTGAGGAATCGAACCCAGGGCCTCATGCATGCAAGGCAAGCGCTCTACCACTGAGCCACCTTCCCAGCCAACTTCTTTTTTTTTGTCATGGGCTTGAATTACTTCTTTTAAACATTAAAATTACATAGAGAAAAACAGTAAGATTGATACTAAAGCCTTAATTATAACTCAGTTGATAATAGCTTTCAATTAATCAGAATGTTCTTTAAGTTTTTTTTTTTAATGTGAGCACAAATTATAAGAAAAAAGAATGACAAGTTCTTAAACACAGTTTGAAAGGCAAATGATGGAGTGGGTATATTTACCTTAACTTATAATGCTCTATATCTATAGTATTATAAACTTTTATTCAGTAAATATGTTATAGTTAATTTATAACATGTATTTTGTATATCGTTCTGGAAGAATCTCCATTAATTATGTTTGTAAAATGCATCTGCTAGCTACGTGCTGGTGGCTTACATCCATAATCCTAGCTACTCAGGAGGCTGAGATCTTAGGATCACAGCTTAAAGCCAACCCAGGCAGGAAAGTCCGTGTGATTCTTTATCTCCAATTAAGGGCAGAAAACGCTGGAAGTGGTGCTGTGTCTTAAGTGCTAGAATGCTAGTCTTCAGCAAAAGGAGCTCAGGGACAGAGCCTAGGCCCAGAGTCCAAGGCCCAGGGCCAGCAAAAAAAAAAAAAAAGCCTCTGCTAGATTCACTTATCTTCTGTTAGCCATACTTACTAAAATAAGAAGACATTCTAATACATTTATTCAAAGGAATTATAATTCAGTAGAAAAAATTAACCAGATTGCCTCAGTTACTCCTGAGAGGAAACATTTAAAGTTTCCAACTATTCACTAATTCCATTGTGTCTAGAAGAGAAAGCATAGACTGTTAGGAAGTTCTTTTTTCCTGGTCTTATAAGCAGTGTTTCTAAAATGTGAACTGACCAAGCTGACTTCTTTGCAAAAGCAAAGTATACACCTCCATCTACAAGGGGGGAATTTAGGAAGTTTCTGCGCATGTGGATCATAGTCATCTTTGCTAATCTTTCATATTTACTCTTTTCTTCCTCTTGCCCTTTTCAAGAATAAATGCTCTTGGAAGGGCTTAGAAAGCAAAACATCAAGATGTATCTAACAGGCTATTTATAGACTAAAATGTGGATGTGAGATTACTTGCCAGTGTAAAACCAGACAGTGGCTAAAGATGAGTCTCTAGGCAGAGATGGGCCTGGCCTGTAGTTTGGGTAGGGTAGAAACTTGGGGTTTGTAAATAGCTAATCTTCATCATTCATGAAAAATATTTTTATTTATAGAAATATTGTTGCTAGTTTATAAATAACCAAACAAGAGCTTAAAATGGCATCTCCTCCCAAATTGAGGAACAATAAAAACCATTGCCAGAGGGTGTTTTTAAAAATTATCATGTGTCTAGAAAGTTCATTTAGTCTTCATTTTGCTCCAAGACATTTGCTCCAAGACAACTCTTTAGCTGTGTAAGCTGAATTTCCTAACATGGATTTTTTCCCCCTAAATCTGAGGGCAACTATAATTTAGAACGATTTATTGAATTTTTTCAGTTCATTCTCAAGGAATGTATTTTTAGGATGTATTTTTAGACTATTTTTGAATACATTGCTCCCAAAATTCTATTCAAGGAATGAAGAATTATTCTTTGTGAAACAGTTTTTTTAATAATATGTGATCCTGATAAAGCACACAGTAGTATTAATTTCCTTCTCTTTCTGCATTCTTTTATGTGGTAAATATTTAGTGAGTAGTCTGTCTAACTGTCCCTATTATAAGTATTCATCCCCTGTTCTTTTTTCTGCTTGCTTTTCCTATGATTATCTTACATTTTCCTCTCATTAGGTTTTAGCAGCAGACCTCTTTTCTCTTCTTGGTCTTTCTCCTCTGAGCAGCCTCATCTGCTTTGTTGTCTTCATTGGCTTTGCTGATGCTTACTAGACATTTTTACCTTCAGGTGCCCTAAGAAGCTTAGATTCAGCATTTCCACAACAGGACTTCTTTCCACAGTACCCCAAAGCAAGCAAACCAAAAGCACATTCTTTTGACGCTCTCTCAGTTACCTTAATGCGATCACTCCTGCATTGCTTTTGTCACTAAGGGCTATGTCAAATCAGTTTCTATGTCTTTTAAATCTGACTCAATTCATTACAATTTTTAATATTACCTAGTCTGGGTCTTTATTTATGTGGACATGTACTCCTAATCATGCACAGTCGTTCCCTTCCAGTTCAGCTTCCAGACCATTGCCAGTTAACTTTCTCACATGCTGCTTTTTAGTTTTTGTGTCTTTTCATAAAAAAAATTTGGTTGCACCTTATGACCTCTAAAATATTGTATTACAGCATAGAAAACCAGGATTCTTTAAATCTAGCTCTAGTTGAAAGAGAATATATCTGTTAAAACCTAACCCTAGCTGGGTGCTAGGCCCTTCACACCTATAATCCTAGTTAATCAGGAGACTGAGATCTGAGCATCATTGTTTGAAGCCAGCCCAGAAAAGAAAGACCATGAGATTCTTACCTCTACTTAACCACCAAAAAACCCAAGATGGAGTTGTGGCTCAAGTGGTAGACCACTAGTCTTGAACACAAAAGCTCAGGGACAGTGCCCAGGGCCTGAGTTTAAGTCCCAGGATTAACAGGAGCATGTACACACACACATGTGTACACACACACACACACACACACACACACTCACACACTCATGACCCTAGTAGGGATAGGCATGTTTATTTACAACCTGCCCCTAGTTGAAAAGGCATATATCTGTTAGTACAATCAATTTGGTCTTGGGGAACTGATAAGTCACAAAATTTCCCAGGACTTGAAATAGCCAGTGTTGAATATCTTTGTAATTCACGGAAGGTTTTCTTTCTTTCTTTCTTTGTCCTAAACTCTGCTATAGTGTATAATAATTCTTAGCCAATGACTCCAAAACAATACAAAAATCTATGTTATACAGCTAAAACATTCAAGTTGTGGAGTTCAGGTCTCTGAGAAGGAATGATCAAGTTATAAGTAAGAAGTTTATGTTTTTGCCTTTTGTGCCACAGTTTAAACCCAGGGCCTCTCACATGCTAAGCATACTCCACCACTGGGTTGCACCCCAGCACTATTTTTTTTTATTAACCACATAAAAATCGAATGCATTTATGGGGTCAGTGGACCTTTTTAACCACATTACTAATCCCTTCTTCCTTTGGCTCATCATTGTCTCAGACTACACTACCATTCCCATGGCATGTGCTCCCCTGGCTCTCTCCTTCACTCATGTCTTTACTCTTTGTTAATTGCTGCTCATCTGTTGGGGCTTAGATCAGTGTTAGCTGTACCCAACATTCTTTTCTCCCATACTTTTCTAGACATTTTATTGACATGTAATTATTTTTACTACCTTGTCTTCTATAGTAAGTTCTTTTAAATATGGCACTTATGTGTCTACCTTTTTTCCCATGGCCATTTGCAGTTCCTGGTATATAGTAGTTACTCAGTTACTAGCATGCTCAGAGAATGGGCTGTTGAGGCAAACTGAATGTTTGGTTGATTTGATAACCAAACTTTTACTTCAATAAGTGACAGTTTTCCTCAAATGTCTTAAGAGTATCTTTCTTCCTTAGTATTCTAGAATAAAAATGTTTTAATATTTGATAACTTGGGATTACCTTATGGTAATCTGTATGTATGTCTGTGACATACACAATACATTTATGGGTACACATACGTATCATAGAATGTAATAGGATATATCAGGATTACTTCTGACTTTTGCTTAAGAACCAGACTTCTAGATCCTATTCCACATGTATTGAATTAGACCAACTTAGGGGCCCACAAATGAATTTCTATTGAAAATCACAAGATGGTTCTGTTATACTAATAAGATTGGGCACTGAGACAGAAACATATTGACAAAGTATATAGTCTGAATGTGTTTCTTCCCACCCCCTCATAAAAATTGTGATTAACTGCAGGTACATTTTTTGAAAATTTTTTTTTTTGCCTTTTGGGAGTGTTTAATAGTCATGGTGTTTTTTTTTTCATCTCTTTTAGCAAGGCATACTGGTAAAATTGGCAGGATCCATCAAAAGTTGTATTTTTTTCCCACTCTGCAGTAAAGAGGATGCGGTACTTCATAAGTTGGTGAGTGTTGACTTCTTACTAGAAATTCTGAAATAATTACTGAGGACTTTTTAACTTGAACTTATTGTTATTATTCATGACTCTTAGCAAGTTAGAATGGAACAATCATTTTTGTTTGTGTGCCAGTACTGGAGCTTGAACTCAGGGCCTCAAGGTTTCAACTCAACTTCTCACTGAAATCTGCTACTCTCCACTTGAGAAACAATTCCACTTCTGGCTTTTTGCTGTTTAATTAGAGATAAGAATCTCTGATTTTACAACTACTTAAAGATAATTTTAAAATAGAAAACAATTTCTGATTTTTCTGTCCAGGCTAGCTCCAAATCTCATCCTCTGATTTCAGCTTCTTGAGTAGCTAGGATTATAAGCATGAACTACCAGTACTCAGCTAGAATGGCATATTCTTGTGGTTATTGAAACCTTTTTTATTAGAGTACTAATTTCCTCCATTGACAAGGAAATATATCAGTTAGTGCAATCATTTCCTTCTGGGCAGACTAATAGGTCATAAAATTTTCCACAGACTTAAAATAGTCAGCATTCAGGGTCTTTGTGATTCCTGTAAGGCTTTTGTCCCTCTCCTTTACTTCCCTTTGTTTTTGTTTCCCTTCTTCCCCTTTCCCTCTTCTTCCCATTCCCCTTTCTTCTTTCCATCCTTGTCCTTCCCTCCCTCCTTCCCTCCCTCCCTCCCTCCCTCCCTCCCTTCCTTCCTTCCTTCTTCCCCTATTCTCTCCTATTCGCTGTTGTACTATATATTTTTTGACCTATGACTTGCGTGCCTTCAATGTCAAGTATGGTACCTGGCTTATAGAAGATAATCCTTGGTGGATAGAGGGGAGAGGGAGGCATAAATGAGCTAGTGTATGTGAAAGCATTTTATAAACTATAAAATGATAGTGTAGTTTTACATACCTTACATTTACCATCTTAATGATGTATTTAAAAGTATTTGAGTTGGGTTGGAGCCATGGCTTAGTTGGTGGAGCACTAGCCAATAAGTGAAAGCAGCAGATGACAAGTTCAAGTTCCAGTCTCAGACCTAAAAAAAAAAAAGCCGAATCGCCATTTTTAGAACATTTTGATCCTACTGATGTTGTCTATATCAGCTGATAGCGGCATTGAAGGTATTGGCTATATTGTTGCAGTAGCCAGGATCAGCTTCTTTTATAATTTCCATGTAGATTATATTTTCCACATTGTATCTCAGTAATTAAATTAAGAATGAATAAGTAGATAGTTTTATTAATCTAATTATATCTCATTATTAAAATATATATTCTATATTTGCCAACTTAATGATATCCAATTCATTTTTTTCTCTCTCTCTCTTTTTTTTTGGCAGTCCTGGGGTTCAAACTGAGGGTCTGGGCTCTGTCCCTGAGCCTCTCTGCTCAAAGCTAGTGCTCTACCACTTGAGCCACAGCACCACTTCTGGCCTTTTCTGTTTATGTGGTACTGAGGAATTGAACCCAGGACTTCATGCATGCTAGGCAAGCACTCTACCACTAAACCACATTCCCAGCCCTTCTATTTCATTATTTATTTCACACTTACTGTGAAAATAAAACTCCCATTTACCACTCTAAAGGTAAATTGTACTGTTGTTTCTTCTTATAGTCTATACTGAAAATAAACACCTGTAAATGTTATGATAGAAGCTTAGCATGTAATAGACTATTGTGTAGCTAATACCTCTCTTTGTGTATTTTAATGGCAAGGATACCGGATTCCGACTTGACTCATTGCGTGCCATCCTGCAACAGGAAGTCCTGTTACAAGAGGATGTGGAGCTAATTGAGCTACTTGATCCCAGTATCCTGTCTGCAGGGCAACCGCAACAACAGGAAAATGGACACCTTCCAACACTCTGCTCCCTGGCAACCCCTAATATTTGGTACTGTCCAGAAAACATGCTTTGGCTACTTTACATATAGAGTATTTTCAGAGGAAATCTATCATCATGCTCTTTATTGTAATGATATCATAAACATTCCATATAATTAGCATTGTAATAAAGTAATGAATGGGGGGAAAAATCGCCTCTTCAAAGTAAACTCTATTTAAGATGAAACAGGAAAAAATCCAATTTGATTATTTTATACTTCCAACTTAGTAAATTAGCTCTGAATTTTGCAACCCAACAAATGGGTAGAAATGTGCCAGATGAAATCTCTTACAACACCTATGCACAAATGAATATTGGCCATTTCTTTATATTTTATGTCTTAGCCACATTATAGAGACAACAAGGATAGGTTGGGACATGGAGATAAGCAGTGAATTATTGCTAGTTGGCTGGGAAATGAATATAATTGATAATTGAAACTACCCTAATATTAAGAAGGTCCAGTCCAGAGAATCATTGAAGTCTAGGATTAATTCCAGTTAATTACTCTTCCATGGTTTCTTTTTTTTTTCTTTTTTTTTTTTT